TGATGAGCACTGATCTACCCAGTTGGGGAACGATGACGCCAACCAAGTCGAGGACCCTGACCCTGACAGTCACATGTTACCAGAAACAGGGGTAGCTGAAAATCAGTTCTAACCAGGATCTTCACGGGTGCTCTGGACATTAATTGAAAATGGAAAGAAAACACGGATCAGCTGTTAGCTCAGAGATAACACCGCTGGTGCGTTGTTAAGCATTTACTCAATCAGAGTCAGTAACATTATTGGTAATTTCAAAACGAAAGCACAGACCTCACACAGTCAGTATTATGTAAACCTTACTTGATAAAAGGACTGGATATTTACCTTGGAAATATGGTCTGTATAATTTCCTTGGAAATATGGACTGGATATTTTCTTTGGAAATATGGACTGTATATTTTCTTTGGAAATATGGACTGTATATTTTCTTTGGAAATATGGACTGTATATTTTCTTTGGAAATATGGACTGGATATTTTCTTTGGAAATATGGACTGGATATTTTCTTTGGAAATGGATATTTTCTTTGGAAATATGGACTGGATATTTTCTTTGGAAATATGGACTGGATATTTTCTCTTGGAAATATGGACTGGATATTTTCTTTGGAAATATGGACTGGATATTTTCTTTTCATGGAAATATGGACTGGATATTTTCTTTGGAAATATGGACTGGATATTTTCATGGAAATATGGACTGGATATTTTCTTTGGAAGTATATTTTCTTTGACTGTATATTTTGGAAATATGGACTGGATATTTTCTTTGGAAATATGGACTGGATATTTTCTTTGGAAGTATGGGCTGTATACTTTTCATGGAAATAAGGACTGGATTTTTTCCATGGAAATATGGACTGGATATTTTCTTCGGAAATATGGACTGGATATTTTCTTTGGAAATATGGACTGGATATTTTCCATGGAAATAAGGACTGGATATTTTCCATGGAAAAATGGACATGGAAATATGGACTGTATATTTTCTTTGGAAATATGGACTTTCTTTGTATACTTTTCTGGATATGGAAATATGGACTGGATATTTTCCTTGGAAATATGGACTGGATATTTTCTTTATGGACTGTATATTTTCTTTGGAAATATGGACTGGATATTTTCTTTGGAAATATGGACTGGATATTTTCTTTGGAAATATGGACTGGATATTTTCTTTGGAAGTATGGACTGTATATTTTTCATGGAAATATGGACTGGATATATTTTCTTCGGAATTTATGGACTGGATATTTTCTTTGGAAATATGGACTGGATATTTTCCTTGGAATGGACTGGATATTTTCTTTGGAAATATGGACTGTATATTTTCTTTGGAAATATGGACTGGATATTTTCTTTGGAAGTATGGGCTGTATATTTTTCATGGAAATAAGGACTGGATATTTTCCATGGAAATATGGACTGGATATTTTCTTTGACTGGATATTTTCTTTGGAAATATGGACTGGATATATTTCATTTGAAATATATGGACTGTATATTTTCAATTTGGAAATATGGACTGGATATCTTCTATTTTCTTTGGAAATATGGAATTAAGGATATTTTCTGTATATTTTCTTGGGACTGGATATTTTCCATAAATAAGGACTGGATATATGGAAGTATGGACTGTATATTTTTCATGGAAATATGGACTGGATATTTTCTTTGGAAATATGGACTTGATATTTATTTCTATGAAAATATGGATACAATATGGACTGGACATTTTCTTTGAAAATATGGACTGGATATCTTCTTTGTGGAAAATATGGACAGAATATTTTCCATGAAAATATGGACTGGATATTTTTTATGGCAATATGGAAATATGGATTTGGATATTTCTTTGAAAATATTCTTATGAAAATATGGACAGGATATTTTCTCTGGTAGTATGAACTGGATATTTCCATGGAAATATATATGGACTGGATATTTTCTTCTTTTTCTTTGAAATATGGACTTGATATCTTCTATGAAAATATGGACAGGATATTTCTTTGAAAATATGGACTGGATCTTCTGTGAAAATATGGACTATCTGTGAAAATATGGACTGGATATTGGATTTGAAAATATCTTCTGGTGAAAATATGGACTGGATATATTTTATGAAAATATGGACTCTGGAAAATAGTATGGACTGGATATATTCTTCTGAAAATATGGACTTGATATCTTCTTTGAAAATATATGGACAGGATATTTCTTTGAAAATATGGACTGTATAATTTCTATGGAAGAACTGACTGGATATTTTTTATGGAAAAATAGACAGGATATTTCCTTTGGAAATATGGACAGGATGTGGAAAGTGTTAGTTTGATATCTTCAGGTGTATATTTTGGATTGGTTTGCAATCTATCAAAATAAGGCATTGGTGTACTATATTTTAATGCAATATCAGGTCATTTCTGGTAATGGTGACTTACCAGAATGGTGAATGATTTGGGTAACTGTCACATGTTATTGACCTTGTCAACAGTGTGTGAGTGAGGCCAATGTGTTTGTTTTGAAATTACCCGTAATTTAGTTCCCTGTTTACGTTATTGAAAGTGTGAGTGAGATCAATCCAGTTATTTTTCCATTAAAAATATCCAGTTTATAAGCTTCAGACTATGGACAATTTTGGAACCATGCACATTTATTTTGCACTTTATGACATGATTCTAAAAAGCAAAAAGCTAATGAAATGGCATGTATTTGTGTTTCCATGGTAACACTCAGTTGTCCATTAAGCGTATCTGACTGTTGAAAAAAAAACAACATTACAAAATATTGTTTTCAGTTTCAAACACTTTGAATTTCTGGTCTATCACTTGATTGTCCGGTCTACCATCACTTGATGGCCAGGTTTGTCAACAGTCTACCATTACATGGCAAGAGTACTTCTGTGCAGGACCTGTGATGATGGCCTTAGAACTGGTCCTCTGCAACCTATGCTAGATCAGGTAGTCAGGCTGTGATGGATTGAAGACCAATTCTAACCCAGATCTTCATGGGGTACAACAAGCATGAGTGAGTTAGGGAGTGAGTGAGTTTAGTTCCTTCAATAGACACATACCCCGGCTTACGAACTAGTGAGTGAGTGAGTGAGTTTAGCTTTATGCCGCACTCAGCAATATTTTAACTATATGGCAGCGGTCTCTAAATAATCGAGTCTGGATCAGACAATCCAGTGATCAACATCATGAGCATCGATCGATCTACATCATTGGTTGCCTTTTACGACAGGCATGGGTTGATGAAGATCAATTCTTACTCGCATGTTCATAAGGTCAGTGTCATACAGCCAAAGATATGGTAATACAGGTAATATAAGAAAATAACGAAAGACCAGGTGCATATTATCAGATTGATGTCAAATATCAATTTATTCATTCCATTAAGATCACTGGCAAGTTCACAAAATCATTGATAATTTCCATAATACAACATTGAAAATTACTAGAAATTAACAGAACAGTACTACACTTGTACAACAGCATTTGGACTGACTGACCAAACCCAGCAATACATACTGAACAATATATTTTGGGATCATGGACATTTTGGGTATGCTTCAGTCAAATAATCAGTATTTTATCATTTTTACCAGATTTGTTTTGGGCTCAACGCCACACTCAGTAATATTCCAGCTGCGGTCTGTAAATATTCAAGTCTGGACTAGACAATCCAGTGATCAACAGCATGAGCATTGATCTATGCAATTGGGATACGATGACGTGTCAACCAAGTCAGAGAACCTGACCACCCAATCCTGTCAGTCGCCTCTTACGACAAGCATGGATTGCTGAAGACCAAAAATTGGTTTAATGACCACCCAATTTACTTCACTTTCGAGTTGTTTACCAGTAGTACTTCCTAACAAATTACAGACCAATGAATCCATAATCCTCACTCAGAAGGAACTGCTATGTTTGAATACTTCCATCACCTCAGCAAAGCATTTACAGTCAACTATTCCTCACACTCCTTATAATACTTTGACTATTGGGCAGTTTGGCAAAGACTACAGGACGAGGCCAGTCTTGCTGCTCTCTCAGGAGGAACTCCATGCGTTGTAACAGTTCCACAACCTCAGCAAAGAGTTTTTAGTCCACTCCTTCTAATAGTGAAAACATACAGCAAAACCCTTAAAACAGCATATGTATCATTATGATACCTTTGGCTGTTTGTCTTACTGCTGATTTAGGAGGAACTGCCATGTTCCTCCATGTGTTGCAACAGTTCCCCATCCTCAGCAAAGATTTTGTAGTCCACTACTCCTTATACATATGTTAATAAATACAGCAAACCCTTAAAAACAACTTTTTGCCAGTCCTTATGAAATCCTGGCCAGTTTAGCCAGGGCCTAGATTTTCGAAGCTCTCTTATCACTAAGATAGTCGTAAGTTAATGTTAATGTATGGCACTTACGACTGTCTTAGCGCTAAGAGAGCTTCGCAAGCTTCGAAAATCTAGGCCCTGGACTATAGGACTAGTCTCAGTCTGACTCAGGAGGAACTGCCATGTTGTAACAGTTCCCCAAGCTTATCAAAGACTTTTCAGTTCACTACTCATACCTAAAAAAATACAGCAAAAATCCTGTACTGCAACAGTTCCCTAGCCTCAACAAATCATTTCTAGTCAGTGCTTATGATACCTTGGGCAGTTTGGCAAAGACTACATTATTATGAGGCTTAGTTTTACGCTGCTTTTAGCAATATTCCAGCAATATCACAGCAGAGGACACCAGAAATGGGCTTCATACATTGTGTCCATGTGGGGAATCGAACCCGGGTCTTCGGTGTGATGAGCGAATGCCTTAACCACTAGGCTACCCCTACGCCCCAGTTTGGCAAAGACTTTGTACAGGATTAGTGCCAGTCTGACTCAAGAGGAACTGCCATGTTCCTCCATGTGTTGCAACAGTTCCCCAACCTCAGGAAAGCTCTTCTCACACACCCCACAAGTATACTCCTCCTTTGTATGAACCCGCTTGTGGTTGTTCAGACTCCGGCTGTTGGAGAACTCTATCCCACAAACCTCACAGCTGGTTTTGCCCTCCCCTGTATGGAAAGACTTATGACCATGGAAGGCCATAAGCGACTTAAAAATCCTATCACAGGGCTTACAGTAGTACTTCCTGCCGTCGCTGTGTTGAACCAAGTTTGTGTCGCTCGAGGTAAGAGAGATATGTAAAAGCTCGGCCACAAATGTCGCACTTCCATATTTTGTCCGTCCCGTGACTGATAAAGCTTGGCCGATCTGATGCAGCGGACACAGAAACACATTTGTCATCTGTGCTTTCAAGAGTTGAAGTCGATTCTTCAGATCCCGGAATCCCATCGTCCATGTCATCCCAGGACGTCTGTCGCTGATCAGCAGATCCCTTTATGTCTACAGCACGACTGCAGGACATCTGTGAGTCAGAAACAGACATCTGCGATTCATCTGTCGAGTCAGATGATATGTTCTTTGAATTCTCCATCACAAAACTGTCCGACGGTATCGAGCTGCTTCTGGTGCTGCTACCTGCAGCTTCACCAGACCGACACAATCCCGAGTCCTCTAGACTCATCCGCCTCTCCTTCTCATGAGTAAACATATGGCTTCTAAGCATCTTTGATGTCCTGAAAGGTTTCGAGCATATTTCACAGCAGAATGGCTTCTCGCCAGTGTGTAGTCGTTCATGCTCTTTCAGTCTCGTCGGGGTCCGAAACACCTTGCTGCAGATGTTACATTTATAAGGACTCTCTCCAGTATGTTTCAGTTTATGAAATTTCAGGCTACCTGACTGTGAGAAAGCATTGCCACACACGTCACACACGTACGGCTTGTCACCATTGTGAACACGCATATGAATCCTCAGTTTGCCGGGCTCTAGGAACATCTTCCCACACACGTCACACTCCTGGTTCTTCAAGCCCTTGTGCTGGCGCATGTGGATGTCGTACTGAGTAGTGAACGGAAACGTCATGCCACATAGAGTACACATGTTCTTTACTCTCGTATGTACCTTTTTATGTTTGTTCAAATTGGAAGCAGATGAGAGAACCTTGTGGCAAACATCGCACCTAAATTGGGATTTTTTGTCCGAACTTTTACCCCTTTTTGAAACATTCGTATAATCATCAACAGCTACAAAAGATTCTGATGACGAAAGACTCTCGGTTTCGGGTGAGAGAGTGACTTGTTCTGTCTTTTCTGATGGAGAGCTCATCCCGTTCTCAACCCTTGCTGGCTGAACAATGTGGCTCTGCATGTGATGCTGAAGTTGTCGATAAACTTGTGAATGATCTCTCACATATTTCACACGTCACAAGACCGTCAGTAGCGTGCATCTTCTTATGGATTGACAAAGATGATGGGTGCCGAAATGTTTTATGGCATATGTCACATTCGTACGGCTTAAGGTCGGTATGACTGACCATATGCACCCGAAGGAGATACGGCTTGTAGAAGATCTTCTGGCAGACGGTACACACGTGACACTTGGTACCAGTGTCATCGATGATCTCGGTCTCGACCTCCCCATCACCACGTGGAGAGGCTGTGTCCTCAGGTTCACTGTCATTGATCATCTGCGATATGATGTTGGACACGTGGGACGGAGAATAGTTCGCATGGGCAACTTCGGAATCACTGGCCTTCACATCATGGTCCATTTTTCCTGAATCGGAATGTTCCATGGTTACTATGGAAACTACTCACAAGAAGCGTCACTAAGATGTGAAGTATCTCCTACTGAGGTTTGGTTAAGGTTTTGGCTGATTCCTGAATTTAACAATGAACTGGATCAAAGCTTGTAGATATGGCATCACCTAACTGTATGGCTCCAAGAATACAGAACAGGTGCTCCTCAAAGAGGCAAGACCTCCTTCCTTCCCCACTGCTGTACACACAACTTTGACCTGTTGAAATAAAATAGTACAGAAACATATTATTTCAGGATGTTAATAAATCAGCCAAGTATATCCATTCCTTAATATGCGTATGCGTGCGTGCGCGTGCGTCGCGTCGTCGTCGCGTCGCGTCTGCGTCGCGCGTCGCGTCGCGTCGCGTCGCGTCGCGCAATCCTGCCTGTGGCGTCGCGTGTCTCTCTTCTGGTGGTTTAAGTGATCGCTTGTCTCGCCAAAGACCTGGCTTCGTTTTCCCCACATGGGTAAAATGTATCAAGCAAGTTTCTGGTGTCCCCCATTGTCATATTGCTGGAATGTTGCTAAAAGTGGTGTAAAACCCAGGTCTTTTGTGTGACGAGCGAACACTTTAACCACTGGGCTATCAGTGTTTCTCTGCAATAATTTATGCGTTACTGGGTGACAGAAAGACATAGTGTATTTGGGTAAACAGGGGACATAATTTAAAGATATCGAACACTCTCATGTCAATAAAATGTGAACTCAGACCCTTAATATTACATTCCACAAGGGTCAGTTGTTATTATTTACATCTAATCAGCTTCTGGGGTTGATGTACAGCCCTTATTTCATGTCTGGGAAACTGAAGTACTGCACAGTGAGGTATTAAGGGAACACTGTCAGAAATTTCAAACAGATGAGGATGACCGAGTGATCGAATTTGATAGTGAGACATTGTGGTGCCTTAACGGGACAGAAACACTTAAATGTACGGTGTTGAAAGAACTTCATTGGCTAACAGTTAGGGCCAGAATTGACTTTAAGATCCTCTGTCTGACATACAAGTGCCTCCATGGTTTGGCTCCCTCCTACTTGTCTGAACTCCTACATCCGTATGTCCCCGCACGCAACTTGCGCTCAAACACACAAAATCGACTGGTCATCCCATCCTACAAACTGAAATCCTTTGGACACTTATCATTCTCTTACTCTGCACCTGTACTTTGGAACTCTCTCCCATGTGCCCTTAAAAGCTCTGACACAATTGACATTTTTAAGTCCAGACTTAAAACCCACCTTTTCTCAGTATATTTATGTATAACTTCATCTGTAAATACTCCAGTGTAAATATTCTGCAGCGCTTTGAGCATGCCTTAGGGTGTGGAAGGGGCGCATTATTAATATGCATTTATTATTATTATTATTATTATGTACCTACATGTTCAAGTACCGCAACTTCTCCAAGGCGGTAAAGCATATCGAAGCAAAGGGAGTATGCTTGATTAGACACTGCCAACAACAGACTCCGGACCCGCTTGTCGAAATACCACATTGGATGTGAAGGCTTCTGTTTCTGCTGTATGTGTGAAGACACCTTCCCATTCACCAACAGGCATTCTACAAGCTGAAAACAGTGTTGAGATTATATTAAATGTCAAATCATACAATCCATAACAGCAATGAGACAGTTGTTAATAAAACAAAATATAATTTTTAAAGTCATATGGGTGACAAAAAGGGGTATATTTTTAAAAAAGAAAAGAAAATTAAGTTGATCCATAGCCAAAAGGGGTCAGACAGAAAGAACTGATCATATGCTACACTGTTTACATTTAAAACAAGGGTTTGTGACATGTTCTGCTGTCAGCAGTGAACATATTTCATGATATTCTTATCATTTGACTAAAATTGACCCTCAGGAGATTAACCCAGACACTCTCATTGTTGTGGCAGTGGTAATTTTAACCTAATATGTTGTCAAATTCATCAGTTCCAACAAATTTAGAAGCCAGGGAACCATTACTTGATGGTAAGACTCACCACGGCGGTCTCTTACCACTGTTCGACCACAAAACGAAGCAAAGTTCATATTCAAGACACTAAAACACTCTGTTCCACTCAAAACAGCCCTATCTTTACTCCCAGTACCTTTAAACTTGCCTCTACATCAATGCTAACATGTTTCCATGGTGAAATAAACACAGGACAGCATGTAAAGTATGAATTACTGAGAAGCGCTCGAACCCTACAGGTTACACAACACCAAATGTTTTCCCATAGACTTCTATAGTAACCGTATATTTTTTTTTAAATTATCCGAGCTATCAACAGCCATTCCAGGTACACATGGGTACAGTCTGGCCTTTAAAAATTGTCTGGCTCATTCTCCGAGCACAGGAAGCGGAACACATCAACTACAGTTCCGCACCAAATGTCACCTACTGGGAAATATCTGTACACACAATAAGCATAAGTCATGGTGATAAATATGACAGCACTAAATACTTAAAATTGTGGTCAGTTTTAATTACTGGGTGGATGTGCTTTTAAAAAACATAAACATCTTACACTATTTCATCCAATCACAGCTGTCACAAGTCTCTGTCTCTTCAGTTGTTTACATACGGTTCTCGCTCAGGGAGCATGTGATTCTGATTTAGTGTAGTGGAACCTACATGTGTACATACAAAAAATAGATAAAATAACTGAGGTAAATTGAGAGTTTCTACTTCAGCACATAAACTTGGCAACTTGCAGTCTTTCTGATCGTTTCTCATATTACAGATCGAATCTGCTGATGATTTAGCGCAAGACAGGTCCTCCATTAGGGTGTGATTTAAGCGATTTACAAACTGCACGGGAGCATGGTAAAAATGGCTGGTGCAGGTAACAATAAATCCTCCAGCATCTCATAGATTCCATTCCATAGTTTTCATTGGGATGTCAGTGACTGGAAGTAATATGTTTCTCTCCGCATGACTTGTTACAAGCATAAACATTTGTGTACTCATTTCAATCAATAATGTAGCAGTAATCATTGGTTCCGATTACCTGACCGACCCTTGAATTCTGGTGCCGACCCTAGTTTTTTTAAGAGGTATAAATAAAATATACATTAAGATACCATTGTTTTTGCCCGGCACCAATTGACATCGGTCATTGTGATAGAGATATCATGATGGCCGCAAGCTTGATCAAATAAACAATATACATTGATAAATGTGTTATTTATATTAGTTCATACTTTGCTTCTAGAAAAAAAATGTAAAAAAAAAAAAAAATGAATTCCAACCTACCTACCCTAAATTCTAAAGAGGTGTAATTGGAACCACAACATTTTTTTTTATTTGCCCTAATGTATTACACCCCTTCCAGCAAGACTGCAGCAATATAACACACTGTACCCATCAGGGATTCCAGTGTTTGCGTTTTCCACTATATACTGGATTTTGGCTGGTAAAATTTGCCCATTACTGATAAATTTGGAGGCTATCAGTCACCATGTCTGATAAAATACCAAAACTATTTTTGTCCTGCCTAAAATTTTACCAAAATTAAAATAAAAAGCGCTAAAATAATCCTCTACTCTCAGGAATTGGGAAAAGCGGTGGCCATGGGTCATTTTGTACATTAGAATAAAAATGGCCCATTACAATTTGAAGTTTACTATTGATACAAGGGCAGTGACCCATTCTAAATTCAGGAAATGGCTAATAATCCTGAAAATGACCCATTGTCAAAGTTCTCTATCCCAATCCCTGGACTCTTCTACTCAGAATCGGCCACTTACGATTTTCGAGTAAGATGAAGTTTCCTTCCAAATTTATCATGCTATGAGCAATGTGATTCAGAGCTCCAGATAACATTTAGCTCATGTGGGTACTGTACCCGCTGTATTTTTTGGGAGACGGTATTATGAATGTTGAGTGGGTATTTCATTTCCCGTTACCCACTGCGGTGTCCTCCCATTACGCAGACAGCCAGTTCGCAGACACCTTAAAACAACAATATTTACGGTTCAGTGAACAGATTATCTACTACCTGTTACCTACACATTATTATGGAATAGTTCAAATAAAAGCACAGGAACAAACTGAAGCTTTATTATTTATTTTGAAGATGGACGAAAAGACAGTAATTTGAATTTTTATTGCTGCAATATAAACACACTGTCAGTTAATTTTCATAAACATTTAGGTTTAACCTTCTAGTCTAGCAAGGGAATGCGGCATCATCATATTGAAAACATTAACTTAGCTATTAGAAATTGCGACACTGTTGTATCATTATAAATCAAATAAAGACTATGAGCCTAAATGTTATATGTTTTGCACACAATATTAAGATATAGGGCCGAGTGCACTTAACTTCACGATTTATTTAGAATAATTGTTTAAAGTATGGCCGCATCATGTGAATGTGACCATGGATGTGAGAATGTTTTCATTACTTCCTTGAATGTCCAATGTATACTACTCAAAGACATAAACTGTTACAATCTTTAGAAATTATTGTTAAAATTAGAACACTGATTGGTATTATTAGGTATCTTACATGGCAATGCAGGTGTCTCATTTACTGCAAATCAGAATGTTTTCAAATATGTACATATCTATATCTCTCAAACAAAGCGTTTTCTCAGTTAACTTCTGTTGTACATATGCTATTATTGGGAGGGTCTTTTCTATCAATAAACACAATCAAACCTCTCAGTGACAAACCTGTTTTTATATTCGACAGTAATTGATAGTAAAATCAATTTTGAGAAGAGAAATCATTTATCATTTAATCACAACAAAGTTCTATTTACCCACAATCAAACTTCTCAGTAACGAACCTGTTTCAGGCTCACCCTGCTCTGCTCACTAGACAGTGGACTGTTCCATTATACCCGTAGGTGTTACCCTAATTAACCTTCTAGTTCAGTGTCTGCCAATTGGGTGTCTGTCAAATGGGTGTCTGTCAGTTGGGAGATAACCCCCACTGCTTTCAAATATGTGCGTATTTCAGTCATTTTACTCACTTAAGCATTATGTCATTGAGTAAGTTTACTAAGCAGGTATGTTCTGCCTTATGTCATACCTAATCAAAACCAAGTTAATATAACGGAAATGATTTAATAAAAAATCACTCATTCTATACCAGGGCTCGATTTAGTTCTTTGTTACTTGCACTGGTGTAGCCGAATATAACAAAGTGCAACCTAGTTATTAGTCTAACTTGCACCAGGTGCAAGCCATTTTTATAGCGGGTAAAGTTCTGAATATAACATGTAGATAAGTCAATAGCATATTTCTTTCATTACATATTGCAATCTAAGCAGCGAAAATGGAATTCAGCTGGTGCAACTAGGTTTATATCTTTGGTTGCATCTGGTGCAAGTAGGTTAACATCTCTTTAATCGAGCCCTGTATACTGACTATACAACACTAGTCCTATACCCAGATACGCAGCTTATCTGGGCCTCTGGTGATTGGTCAGTTTGAAAGTCATTCGGAAATGATCAATGTGTTTTGTACCTCGAAATGTCACTATCATTACTGTTGTCACGGAAACCATGGAAAGCAACTGTGTTATCAGATTGTTTGAACACTATTGGGTTTGAACACCATGGGTGAGGACACCAGAAATGAAACAATGTGGGGAAGGTGATGAAACAACAACAGTAAAGTGCAAAATAATGATTGAAGTTTACGTTGCAATCAATTTTCAAAATTAAAACCCAGTAAATTAAGGACATGTAATTCAGACTGGATATCTGAATTGGCTCCAATATGAGGAGGACAATGGAACTGTAAAATATGTCAGCTGGCTGGCAAATTAAATAGCTTTACCGAAGGTAGTTCTGATATGAAAAAATCGTGTGAGTGCAGCGCATCATCTTTTATTCAATTTCATTGTCTTTTTCATCATATTTTGTGACCAGCAGATTTCGTGCAGGACCAGTAAATTAGGTCATCGGACACCATGACCGGCTGTTAAAAAAAACAGTGGAAACACTGGATTCGAACCCCAGCCTTGATCAGTTGACAGCACATCCTCATGGGTACCCATTTTTTGGTTTGACAGCCCTGTATTCAACTGCTAAGAACTTGAATAATGAACTTTGGTAAGGCAAAAATAGCACAACAGATGTATTCTTTGATTTTGGTTTCATTTACCCTTAGAACAAGAGTCATCAGAAGATGACATATCCCCCCGGCCCCCACATCTTTGAAAGAACAAATCATCTGACAGTTACTTAAAGTCCAGCTTGATTTTAGACTACGTGCAAATCGTTCCATGGAAATCATGGAAAAAATAAATGACAAATATCTGCAAATAGCACAAGGCACCACTTCAAGATCTGCCTCACATATCTGCCAAGTTTTACTGAAAGATATTAAGAAGTTTTTAAGAAAACCTACCCACCTTTTGAGTTGTGCTCGATTGACAAAAATCTGCAAATAGCATAAACCTACCCTCACATATCCGCCTGAAAGATTTTAAGAAGACTTTGAGTTGTGCTCAACGAAACTGTATTTTAAAGACTAAGTTTCCATGGAAACCAAGAAAAATAAAATTGACAAAAATCTGCAAATAGCATAAGGCACCACTTTAAGATCGGCCTCACATATCCGCCAA